CACAGTATGTGATTCTCGTTTAATTCATTTCTGACAGGCAGTATTGAATTCATTAAAAGTGACACAAAAACATTTATAATCTCAATCAAAAATGTGTTGTGCAGTAACACTTTAGAATAATGGTCCATTAGTTAATGTTAGTTAATGTTTTTATTAACATTAGCTAAGTATGAATAATCTTATAGAATTCCTATTTATTGCAGAACTTTTCGTTTTTTAGTCATAGCTCAACATTTACTAATAATACAATTATTAAAATACAATAATAATACATTATTAAAATTGGAGGTTTTTCATGTTAACATTATTTCACTTTAGAATTATAAGGTTATATCTGACATTTTTGTCAAAATTAAGTTATTGACATATTAAATGACAACTTATTTTAATTTTTGGGATTTTTAATAAGAAAAAATAATAAGAATTTTGAGTATTTTATACTAATGTTTGTGGATTGTGTGTAAAAAATTAAGCAACACACCCTTAAATTGATGACCAGGACAAAATATTGTAATTTTTTGCAAATAATCATCTGACTGAAGACTATGCCTGTCAACATTGGGATGTGAAAATATCCCAAAATTACTAAATATATTAATCTAGAGCTGTTTTATAGTAAATAGTGGATACGGTCAATGTTGTTGTTGTTGTTGTTGTTATTATTATTATTATTATTATTATTATTATTATTATTATTATTATTATTATTATTATTATTATTATTATTATTATTATTGTTGTTGTTGTTGTTGTTGTTGTTGTTGTTGTTGTTGTTGTTGTTGTTGTTGTCGTTATTTACAAAGGATGTAATACATAGTATGGATTAGAAAAACCTGCAAATAAATTACAAAACAGTTTAGCCTATTAAAATTAATAGCTGTTATAAAAAATTGCATCAATTTATCAAATCTCGTTAATATTTTCTCTAAAATTTAAACATTCTGATTAAAGAGCAGCGAATCACTTTTCAAAATGCACAGATCTATGTCCACTTTCGCTCCACTTCAAACCATGTGTACCGAATTCATTTAGCAAACAGCATGTATTTATCACTGTGGAGCACGTCTGACAGTCGCACACTGCTACATAACTAACTGTTTTGAGGATTGCATAGGAGTGACAACAGCGGAAAGGCGAGGAAACCTGATATTTTTATATATAAATTGTTTTGATGCCTAAATAAAATAAAAGCACAGAAAAGATTCACATTTAAGGGCAAGAGGCATCCCCTGGTGGTTCAGTGGAATGGGTTGCGTATAGGGAGGGTTGCTTCTTTTATGTTTATTGCCACCCTTCATACAAAGATTAACAATACGGGAGAAATATGGGAAAATAGCTTTATGGAATGATATTGGATATAATTGTAAAATACGAGAGAATCCCAGAGGGTTGACTGGGATGCTGAAGTCTAGTAAAGCTGAAAATTGATCACAATAAGAAATGTCAAAACATTAAATTCTAAAACTGTTATTTAACAACCAATTTGTACATGAATACTTCAGTTTCCCAGCAGTGGGGGTTTACGAGTGGGACTCAGGGACTAAGCCAAAGGAAGTGAGGAACAATAATTTATCTTTTTACTGTGTAACTGTGTTAAACGTGGCTTTGGTGAGCACAAATAATCTCATAGTCAGTGTGCATAAACAACAACCTCAGCATATAAATAAAATCGACAAACACTAAAACAGTATTCCTATAAGAGTAGCTGCATAACTTATTTATGTGGCAATATGTGCAGGGAACTTGCAAACCCTTAGTGACTTAGCAACATTGTTTATTATGAAACCGTTTGCCTCATTTAGCCTAGTTTGGACAACAGTTGACTACATGTTGTCAGTTCAACAAGCATTTTTATGTAGATTCAAAGTGATTCACAATTCTAAGTAGACTATGTGTGACTCAGAATCTCAGTTCAGTTGGTAAGCTCTAATTTCCCTTTTACTTTGTTGGTCTAAATCACCTCATGCATAATACTAGAAAATGAAAAGAGTTTGAGTAATGTAATCAGACAGTATTTTTGCTGGCATTATGCGTCTTATGCAAATAGAATCACTGAGTTGGTTGTTTAGCTCGTGTACACACAACCTTCCTGAGGCACACGAGTGGAATAAAAAGATTCATTTTTACAAGAGAAAGCAAATCAATGAAGGAATGAATCAGCAAGGCGAATGAATCAATGAATCATTCATGCACATCCTAGTTATTCTGAATGTGTGTCTTCAGAGAACTAAAAAATAACAAAACCGAACATATTCAAACTCATGTCTCTTTCCATTCCACGCAGTTAGCGTCGGACAGAACTCCATATATTGATTGTGTGTTAAGACACTAAGTCAAAACCTTAAGACTTCAAAAGGGAATTGAAGTGAAGAAAAGCAGAGCTGTCTTGTAGATATGCCAGTTTTCAATTACTCCTACAAACTCTTTGGACCTTGTGTTCTGGGCATAATTTCTTCAATGCTCGGTTGCTTTGTTTTTGTAGTCCTCTATGGAAATCCACCCACAAGTTGATCTTATCTGCCTGGACGTCTCCCGGCATTGAAACCAGGGGGTTGGGGAGTTTTTCAAGGTCAGATAAGCAATCTGGTAATGACTCAAGTTTAAAAATGTGTTGCTGTTTTGCAGCAAGGGTCACATTTGAAATGCTGTTGTATTTGATTTAGCAGGGGGGAAAGTAGGAGTTTGGAAGCTATTTTTCTTTTTAATATAAGAATGCAATCTGTTTGAACCTTCATATCAGTAAGAAAATGTAGCATTTGTTAAACCCCGGCTCAACTGTGCAGAGGCGGATGCAATAAACCAAATGAATAAACGTCTGTGTACATACATACATGTGGGAGTCTCTCATGAGGATATACAGTATGGATTTCTTTTCTCATCAAATAATTTATCAGCACTGGACAGTATATATTATTCAACTGTAAAAATCGTCATTTTGACCTTGGACATCACAGTTTTAAGACTTAACCTTCAATTTAACCCTCGGGGATCCTCAAGAGAAACAGTAGCCTTACATTCTTAAAGCAAAGCAAAACAAAACAGACAAAAAATACATAAATATACTTAATTAAGCCATTTTTGGTCTCACAATGTAAGTACAAGCTGAAATATGTGCAATATTTTCAATAATGTAGGTAGATGTGGAGATTCTGTAATTATTTAAACTAAAAACACATATTTTCACTTTGAAGTTTTCATTTTTCACTATAATATTAGGTTAAGCAGCTTCAAAGATAAAAGATACATTTTCTTTCTTAAAAAAATAAAAACAAATACATAGTAATAAAAATAATAATAATAAAAATACATATAATAATAATAATAATAATAATAATAATAATAATAATAATAATAATAATAGCAATTATTATACGAAATGATTGTTAATTTTAGCAGATATCCACAAGTGGTGCCAGTGATTACACATAAGTTAGCATTTGAGATTGTGCTTCATTATGTAAGTACATGGGTGTATATTTGAATTACACGCTTGATTGGTCTGAAAAACAATTCAGGTGAACAAGATGGGTCAGAGTCTCACTCATTTATTAAGACTACTGAGGTCCTTTGTTGTGTGTCAGACGCTTTTGAAGACTTTCAATGATTTTGTGGTGTCATTTATGATCCTGCATGCTGTATCTGCTGGGGAAGGGAACTGTTGGAGAAGGAGAAAAACTATTTAAATAATCTTATAAAAAGGGCACAGTGCAAAAAAAAACAAAAAAAAAAACAATATAATATATTTTTTTAATATTATGTAGTTTAAAAATACAACATATTAACGTTTTAATGTAAATAAAAGCCAATGTGGGTGTCTTAAGGAGCAAAAATACAGCAAATGGGCTCTTATATTGCTGTTGTGTCATCACTTTGCAAGTCTTATCTGCCCTGCCCCTCATTTGGGATGCTGTTCATGAATTATCCCCCATGACAAACTAATTGAATAGCCCTCGTGTAGTAGTTATTGCTTTGACACATGCAACTCCGACACTCCCTATGCTTTCCTGTCTATACTCTCTGCTGTTATATTAATTGAAGGTGAAAAAACTAAAATGTTGAGTACACAAGAAAAAACTTAAGAAAATAAGGATTATTATTGTTTTTTATTTATTTATTTTTTTTTATTGCAGTGCAGGTTCTGTTGTGGGGTGTGTACAACCCACTATAGAAGATATAGCACATGGTCGAATGATGGAAAAATTTGTCAGTATGATGAACCATGATTGTCATTATCTTTTTGATACAGTCCAAGCATGTGCAAGCTCTTTTAGCTCAAGATTAATTCAGCCCCAGTGTTACGGAGGACAACAGGAAGTCATTTTTACCAACAGTGATCAGATTGTTTAACCAAAGTCATACTAGGTGAATTATGCTGAATTGTAGTAGCATTATTGCTATCGAAATGGAAAAGTGTCTACTCGTTGTTTGAAAGTATGTCCAGGGTGAATGTAATTTTATTAATATAATTATATTTTATAATATTATTATTGTAATATTTTATTATAATAATTATTAATATATTTTTATTTATGTAGTTAGTTTTATTTATTTTATAGTATAAAGATGTCTGCTGTGACATAAATTTCCCTTTAGCATTAATAAGTACTATTTAACAAACATTCTTCTTTTTCTTCTTCTTCTTCTTCTTCTTCTTCTTCTTCTTCTTCTTCTTCTTCTTCTTCTTCTTCTTCTTCTTCTTCTTCTTCTTCTTCTTCTTCTTCTTCTTCTTCTTATTATTATTATTATTATTATTATTAGTATTAGTATTGTTGTTGTTATTATTAATACTACTACTACTACTAATAATAATAACAACAACAACAACAACAACAATAATAATAATAATAATAATAATTTGTTAGTTCGTTCAACTAGTGTTATCCAAATGCCCGTTTTCTTTTTTCACGGTGTAACAGTGGCAGCTGAATGATGCAAAAGACGTATTTTTTTTAGTAACAGGGACAGCTTTCTAAAATGTTCACTTTCTTTTTATGTTTCAGATTTACATACACTCTTGGAGAAGGCATGTGGCTGCCACTTAGCAAAAGCTTCGTCATTCCTCCGGCTGAGCTGGCCATCAACCCCTCTGCCAAGTGTAAGACAGATATGACTGTCATGGAGGACGCAGTGGATGTCAGGTAGGAGATGACATTTTCAATCTGAGCTTATTTCAGAGAAGAATAGCGGAACAAGGTGACATATTGAAACGCATTTATAGAGTGGCTAAAAATTCCACAGGCAAATAAAATACGCTAGGGCATGTTTAAAAATAGTTTAGACCCATCATTCTGTCCTTAGCCTTCCTAATGTGTAATTATTCATCCTTCGGTAAGCTGTGTCTTAAAAAAATATGACCTACTATAACAACTGTTGCCAACCACTCTGAGAAGTATATTTTTTGGATCCATAAACGCTTATTAATTTAAATGAACGTGAACAGCATCAGTTGTTCCAACCTACTTTTAAAAATGTAAATACATTAAAGGGCCCTATTATGGTTTTTTTTTAATATATTCCTTCGTGTTGTGTATAGTATAGCTATTTGTGAATGTAAAAGGTCTACAAAGAATCAATTCTGAACTGCCTGAAATGAGTCCTCAGTAATTGCTGCATTACATCTTGTACAATCTTATGTACAGTAATGTTGATAAAAAATAGCATAATGCTGGTCCACTTTTACCCATCCTTAAATACTGTAATTGTAGCTGAGGTCTATTGACTTTGGCTCATGCTATAAACATGTTGAGAAGACTCTATTGTCTGCACTGTGAAGTCCACTTTCGAGTATGCCAACAAGCAGACACTTATAAAGGTTGAGGATTATAATTGAACCAATAAGGCAAACCTGATGGCATTGCTGTTAATATTAATGTGTAAGCTTCTGGGAAATTAGGAAATAATGAGAAAGCTTTCGGAGCTGAAATGCAGATATGGTAATGTTTGTGGTAATGGTGTGTTTTGATTCTGAAATGCATTATAAGTGGTGAACCAATTACAACGCTGGGGCATTTGACCAATCAAAGGAAAGGAGGGTAACACTTTAGTTTAAGTACCAATTCACACTTTTAGCTAATGGTTTATTAACTACCAACTTTTAAGATATAGGCTGTTTATTAGTATGTTTAAAGTACATATTCTTCATGATCTTATTTTAAATCTTAATCTTAAGCCCGATTGCTATACCTTAAAAACAATTAATAAACAGCAAATTAGAAGTTTATTGTGCTGAAATGAATAATTATTGGCTTGTTAATAGTGATCATTTTATCTGAAAATGAAGTGTAGACCTAAAGTAGACTCTTGCTAATTAGAGATTTAAAGATACCTAGAAATTGTAAAAAAAAAAAGAAGAAGAAGAAAATGCTACAATTTATATTGTATAAAATAAAGTTTGTTGACCTTGGATGAATTTTAAATTGTTTAAGAGATTTCCAACGTACATGACAATTGATTTAAATATTGATTCATATTTTAATAGTGAGTGAAATGTTAATATTTTAGATACAGTAAATGTGCATTTGAAACATTAGGAACAGTTTTGGTTAATCAGGGAACTGTGCAATTTAATAATGTATTTAATAAAACCAGCATTGTACCATTTATTTTACATTTTTACAACTTTGAGTTCATTTTAAAACCGCATCATTCATGAGAAATCTATTAGAGAGAAGAACAGTAACTAAGAATTTCAGAGCTTAGAAAAAAAGATCACTTCATCCATGGACACTATTGATCAGATGAATCACTTTCATCAAGCTGAATATGATTCCTTTATGCCATTTTTATCTCCAAGGAATCTAGCAAATAAAATTATGTTAACACTTTAGTTTAAGTAACAATTCACAACATTTACTGCTGGCTTATTATCTGCCTATTATTAAGAAATTAAATGCTTATTAGCATTTATAAGATGTGATATTATATATTGCATCCTAATCAGGTATGCTCAATACCTAGGCACAATTACTAGCATACTACCTATTAATAAGCAACTAATTAGCAGTGTATTGAATAAAAATAATGGTTTGTTAATGATTTGAAGCTAAAACGAAGAATTATTGCGTCAGGGAAGTAAAACAATAACATGAGTCTGGTCTAAGACAGCAGATAATTCTATAAAATATTTTTTTGTATTCTGTAGAATTCTCAGTAATATTCATGCAGTGATCTTAGCTTATCACTCCAGTTGTGTCTTTACGTTGTTTTCCAGTTACATTTAGAATTGAGTTCTGTTATTTATTCAGAATATTAACTATACATTATTAATAATACTTATTGTAAATATTATTTTTATTATTTTTATTTTATTTCTTTAGAATTTATATAAAGAAATTGTTATATTCATTTAAACTAAATAATGATTGAAAATAAATGCCCCACATTGTAAAAAAAAAAAAGAAAAAAAGAAATGTAAAACAAATTAAATTTTAAGGAAATTTCTGTAATTTAATGTCTGTTATTTTACGGTAAATTGACTGTAATTTAAGGGACATTATTTAAATTTTTTTGTTTTCTTTTTCTGACAGCTGGGATGACAGAAAAAAAAAAACTTAAAATAATGGTCCTTAAATTACAGTCAATTTACCATAAAATAACAGACATTAAATTACAGAAATTTCCTTAAACTTAAATTTCCGCTATTTTGGTAATTTATAGTCCATTTTTTACGGTAAATTTCTGTAAGTTAATGGCCATTATTTTAAGGTAAACGTAAACATGAATTTATACATTAAACATTAACAATTGAACATTAAAATAAACAGTAAACATTTAAACATTTGAAAATTCAATTCTTTTACATTTAACGTAAATTAACAGAATTTTTTTTTTTTTTTTTACAGTGCAGTAGAGCTTTATGTCTAGCAATTCCCCTGCCAAACTGATATATGAATGAGGGTTTTGTCTGCCAGTATATGTTGCCTACAGTGCAATCTGGATTTTCTCTGGTTGAATTAAACTTTACAAAACATGGCTGACCTCAAGATGTCACAAGTATATTTAGGTTGACTGGATAATTACAGTAAATTACAGCAACATGCCTGTTCAGTGACTGTGCTTGGAGACTTTTCAGTGGCCTCTGTGATTTTGATGTCTTAAAAATCATCATGTGGATAGAGTTTTAAGAGTAAACTTTGTGAGTTAATTAAGCCTCTCAACATATTTGTCAAGACCCAGATGTGTCAGTTATGGCTTCCTAAAATATACATTTAGAAATCAACTCCTTTTCTGCTTCAAATTTAATTGCATGGTATATTGATTTACTTTAGCCGCCATAATTGACTTTCTGTTTAATGACACTTTTTGTGATGTTCCAATTATCAGGATAATTTACAGATCCGCTCATCTTTATTGAACTGCAACAGGTGGAAGTTTTCTACCAATTGAGTTTTTTTTTTCATCCTCAAAATTGATGTTGCTTGACATTATCCAGAACTTGCAGGGGCTTTGAATGCGTTGCCAAAGGGCACATGCTGATTTGATTAATTTGTTTTTAACCCAAAATTGATTATTCTTGTGATTAGTCTCACACTAAATTAGCATGGTAGCTGGTGCTTAAAGGAAGTTTTAAATATTTTAGTTCTCATGGCTTTAAAGGCAGTAAAATGGAAAAGTTACTTTTGAAAATTCAATTATAGATATGGTTTTGTTCATGTGAAATAATAAAAAATGAAATAGCTTATAAGAAGTGCTAGAGTTATCTTCAGAAAAAGGATATATTTCACATATATTTCAAAAGCCGTATTGTTAAAGAAAGCTAGATCTATGTGTAGTAGTTTCCTCTCCTTTCTCTGCTGAATGGTTCTTTTGATTGTTATAGTTCAGCATTAAATTACATGTCAATATATGTTCATGTTGTATGTGGATGTCTTATTTGGCTATATACATAAATACACACTGTATATAGCAGAAGGTTACATTTTCTCCCCTCTTTCTGGATTTGGATTCATTTGAAAGGTCCACTAAGTGTGTCCTAGTGATGTCCTGCTGAGCGGCGAGCTTCACAGGGTCCCACATATTGATTTTGGCAGGCCATGTGGTCCCTTGGCCCCTGGCTTGATAAGTATTGCCATAATTCCAAGTTTGTTGAAAGCATTGAAATATTTCAACACTTTTACCATGATATGCTAAACATTTGTTACAGAGATAATGCGCTGCACAATCTTTAGTAATGCTTCGTTATGCTAATTTAGGTTTCTAATTTTGTCTTCTGTAATAATCTTCCTTTCTGATATACACTCACTGGCCACTTTATTAGGTACACCGTACTAGTACTGGGTTGGACCCCTTTTGACTTCAGAACTGCCAACTGGTCCGTATTGACATGATAACAAGAAGTTGGACAATAACAAAGTGGCCAGTGTGTGTATAGTAAATTGTGGTGTACCCAAATACAGAAGTTATGTCACTGTTTATTTGTTCCAAACATGTATTAAATTGCAAGGACATATTGTATATGATCATGTATTTATTTTTTCCACTTAAAAAGTTAGATAAGAACAACTGAAAAACTTATCAAATGTTGTATTTTGTGCACAGAGAAAGAAAGCTCTACAGCTTTGGGCTGACATGAAAGTAAGTTCAATAAATGATAGTTTTAATTTCTGCTCAAATTATCCATTTAAAGCACTAACCTATTGAGTTATACAGTGTGTAAAAACTAACCCTGTTAAAGACAAACTACTGCAATACATGCCTAATAAAAACTGCATTTGCAACCTCCAACAAAGTTAATAGGAGTTATTAAACAATTTGGCTCATTGATTGAAATTTAGTCTAGAATTTATTGACTTGGCATAACCTGAATGTGAAAGGCTGAGAGAAATAATACATTTAAGCATCATTACTCGCTCTGATCATCTTTGACCACTGTTAAAGCTGTAATTATTCTTTAGAAAATTAAATGTTAGGATAATCACATATGTTATGATATTTTATATCTGTAGACTGCAATTCCCAGTAATGGACGCAGTCAGCTTGTTTGGAAAATGACCATAGCTGTTGATTATGGACATCACACTGTAAATGGTTGTACATTTGAGGCAAAGCAAACACTATTCACTATGGTAGTGCAAGTGAACCAGTGCGCAGATCCTGCTCCCAGCAGAATAGTCTGATCCCAAGAAAAGCAATCTTAAAA